TATTGTCGAAGTTTGATTATTCAAATGAACATTATTTGAATATAGGATGAATACGTATTTAATAATGTTTAAATTTTAAAACATGTATATTGGAACAATATTTAAAAAAATAATTAGATAAATGCAATTGAAAGTCATAAATAAATTTGATGTTTGAATAAAATTTCTAATATTGGAAGTTAAAAAAATTCTGAATAATTTATCTATGTAAAAGCAATAGAAGAGTATCCAATATTAAAGCAATATGTTACATGATATCTTATATAGAACGATTTCTTTTTCAACACCTCAATTTTTCCAGATAAATAATAGCAATTTATCAAAAAAATCGTGAGAAACTTTTACATATTTTAAAAACCTAAATAATAAAATTACTAATATTTTACAAATATTAAATAGTTTAAATAGTATATTTTAAATAACACAACATACTTTTTATTATATTACTTAAATGTTTGATTTCATTTTAGCTATATATTATCCATAAGTTGAATAATGAACTCTTTTTTTTCACTCTATATAAAAATTCTACCAAATGTACCACTTTATAACCATTCCGTATAATTTGTTTATAACTTCGAGAACATTAACTTTTCGATCCATATTTATCAAGACTTTCTTCGATTTATCCAAAAGTTACGAATCCTTTTCCTCCATCACCCTATATAAAAATTTTACCTATAATTCTTCGTATCCTATTTCATAGCCTTCATTCCGTATATATAATTTTTTTATAACTTCATCGATCGAATATCAATATTTCGATCCATATTTCATCTCTTCGATTAGTTATCTTTTTTACTTTTTCGTCGTCCCGTATAATAACAATAATTACTCGAGTATCCCGAAATCCTCCATTTATCGACGAAGTCGTGGCCTGCGAGCCGAGATACCGAAATAAATCGTGGCGAACAAAGCAGGCCTCGATGAATTTTCGCCATACGTGTTCCAAGGACGGTGCAAAAAGTTGTTGTAGCGGATCGAAAAACATTCATGCCAATAGTTTCTCTTGCCAATCATTTCGCGGCGGTGCGACGGCCTCTCCACCGATGGTTTCTCCCCTTTCCTTCTTCGAGCTTTTTCCTTGTAGAGAAACGAGAGAATCGCTGCCTCATCGATATTCGATGCTTTTGACACAGCCGTTTTGCCCTTCCCTCCCCATTGTTTCCTACCAATGGCGCGATAAATTTCTTCGCGAACGTTCTTCGCGTCTCTCTCTCTCTCTCTCTCTCTCTCTCTCTCTCTCTCTCTCTCTCTCTCTCT